ATATGCCAAGCGATTGGGGATAAAAAGGATTACAACACACACACACCGGACACACACACACACACACCATGGCAGACACTGCCAAAGAGAAGGAAGTCCTCGAGGAGGAGGAGGAGCAAGAGGAGTCCACTACAACCACCACAACGACAACCAGCAAGTGGCGCAAAACCCGCTCCACAAAGGTAGGGTCCCAAGCAAAGGGAAAGAGAGGGAAGGGAAGGGAAGGGTAACCGCTGCCCCGCTCGCTGTCAAGCTGACAAATGTCAGACGGATTTCATGAGCGGCATTCCACAGTTTGTCTCTTTGCTGGGAGTACCCACTGGGGAGGGGTATATTTAGATATGTTTAGGTATGCCCAAAGGTCTTAACTGAAGCTGCATGTGGTAATACTCGAGGGAACATTCTAACAAAGTTCCTACATTGCCTCTGTTCATCGAATTCCTCAATCTCAATCTCAAAAGGGAGGATAATTAAGCAAAGCATTTACTGGTAGGTTGAATAAACCTCCGAAAATAAACACCAGCCGAGACACATTAATCACAATCTTTGGAAAAGAGACTCCTAATGTATGCACATGCTTGGCTGGAAGGACACCTCAGCGGGCAGAGCAGGATAAAGGGCAGCAACTGCTCGACCGACCACTAAAAGGGTTCCGAGAAGAGGCAGTCTCAGGGATGGGGATGGGGAGTGAATACCTTTCCAGGTCGCTGGACTTGAGCAGAAGAACGGAGGGGAGAGTGGAAATAACCGGTGGGATATTGGGATAAGTAAATGGGTGGGTGGGGCGCGGCCACAATTGCCACTTTGATTGTAGTCTCCAGCCACATGGCTCCAGTCCCAATCTGGAGGTTTCGCATGCGTCCCCTTGGGCTGTGCGGCGCATAAATTACTCGCAAATACCCAACAAGGGGGAAGGGCGAGCAGGGGAAGTGTGGCAGCTACTTAGAGGCGCACTTCACCTGTCGCTCCAGAGTTCGCTCCTGGCACGGGGGCAATCAATCAAGCCGTAAAGTATTTATTAAACGATATTATGAGGTTTACCTGATGGGATAACATCCAATTTGAACACCCACCCATTTATCCCTCTGTATACCCCACACACACACACACACACACACACGAAGCACACACATATTTTTTTTAATAGCTTCATTGTTTCGCTTAACAGGATTTCATTTCACTTAATGTACCAACACACTCACACAGCGAGACACAGACACACGAGTATGCGTGTGAACACCTCTCCCTTCTGCCCATTCCCCCTCGTCCTTGTTGGCCTGGCTTTTGCTTGTTCTGGCTTTTGCCCAGCGGCATTTTGGCGCTGCCTTTCTCAAATCAGCGCAAAAAGAGAGCCGAAGGAAGCCGAGTAACAGGATGCCGGCTACGGGGGCAGAGGGGCAGGGATGAAAGAAAGAATAACATTCCCCGGAATAACACTGCCAAGCGCGACTATGGGATATTTATATAGTGTATGTACGAGTATACACACACTTCCTTCGTACCCATAAATGCACCCTCTCTGCTTATGGCCGGGAATAGTAGTTGACTTTTTGTCCACGGATTCTCATGGCAGGCAGCAATCAAGGCACAACAATCCACCAAGCCCACCAGACCCAGACCCAGACCCGGACCGCTCTGTCGCTGCCTCTAGATTTGTGCAGGGAAGAGCACAGTTTGCGGGCCCCAACGGGTGGCAACGGATGGCAACAGTTGCACCAATGATGCGATGAGGTCGGGGCACCCAATATGCACTCCATGGATCGATCGATGCAATGGAAGCTGGATTTCACTGGGGAAAAGCAGGAGTTTTCCTGCTGTGCAATTATTATTTCTATTTGGGAAGTAAAGTTGAGGTAGTCCCCAGAGGATGATACAACTACATAGGTGTGCGGAGAGCTGGCACACTATTGCCATTTCCGTTCAGTGAATTTCTTTGCTGCATTCTGCTACATAATTAGAGGGTTTCCACACTACATACAAGGTACTAATTCGATTGGGAGCTCCTTGAAACTGAATTTAAATTCATTTCTAGGCTTCAACCTCAGCCTGTCTGTTCTTGAGTTTCCTATCCACTGGCTGTGCTACTTTACATCCATTAGTTCTATGTCTTGCCTTTGTTATCCACATTTCTCTTTATCTTTATCTTCCCCTCTCCTCTCTTCTGTGTGTTAATTTCTGCATCAGTTTCTTGCTCTTCATTTTATGCGTTTTGACGCGTCACCTCCACAGGCAAGCAGCCATGTCTGTCCTCCTTCCCGGAGATTGAAGAGGGCGTCCTTTACCACACCCAGCAGCACCTCCTCCTTAAATGGTTGGACAGGGAATCTTTATCTTTTAATTAAAAGTGATGCTACTGTTCCTTTAATTTCTGCTGCCAAGGAGGTGGAGTGGAGCATCCCCTCCGCCATGTCCCTTTCCCCATATGGGGTAGGTAGGTGAGCATTAATTAAGGATTTTACGATTGTTTCCCATGTGGAACATGGCCAGGGCAGGTCCTGCCACAGGACTGACTGACTCTCCGCTATATTTGTTGCATGTATAAATGTTTATTCATATCATAAAATAAAGTATATGTTTTTCAAGTAGCTCGGCGCATGGCGGCAGCTGCTTTTCACTCAACTTTCCTTGGCCATGAGAGAGAGAGAGAGAGAGAGCGAGAGAGAGGGGGCGGGCAGTCATTAGGGTTCAGCCGAGAGGCTAATTGACTTTTGGCTTCTGCTGAAGATAGGTTGGCCTTTTGTTGACTTAGCAGATGATGCCCGATAGACGAGAGTGCTCCAACCAACGATAAATGGATATGGCAACCATCCTCCCTGTCTACCCATCTAGTTCATAAACTATTTCTATACCCATCTATCGCTACATTCTGTTTGGTCTCTTTCCCTTTGCATATTCCCAAATAATACAATTTTCTCTTCTCTTTCGTTCTCTTTGCAGGTAAGAAAACTTCTTCATTTGCTGCCACACTTTTCCCCCCTTTTTTCTGGACTTCCCGAGTAAGTTTCCATTCAGACAGTGTATTCATTGTTCCATTCATTCATTCATTCAACCGATCCGTTCCGCTCCGTATCTCTCACTCCAAACTCATTTCCAAAGCAGAAACATTCTAGCCCATAAATACGTACACATATCTCTCTTACCCTCTCTGTCGCTCTCTCTCTCTCTCACACAAAGAAAACAGCAAGAATATAGAAAATAAAACACAAAGACACACACACACACACACACATGGCCATCTTTTGGGTGTATCTGGGTGTGCATGAAACAAGCAGTTATTTATAAGTTTTGCTGGCAAAAAATCAGCAACTTTTTCCGTTGATCTCCAAGTATAGAGCGTTGGCGCGTTGCCAAAAGCGAATTGCGCATACGCCGTGTGGTCCATCCATTGGATGTCCCATTGTGTGCGTCTGTCTGTGTGTCTTTTGCGAGTATGTGTATACCCACCCCTCTCTGGCAACATCTGGAGAAACTCTCTTACGGAGATCCAACACTTCTCTTTGGTTTTTCGGAATGTTTCTCGCAGTCTCTGTAAGGTCAGGGCGGCCCACTCTCATTATCATTCTCAGCTGTCCCATCTGCCAAATTGTTTGTCAGCTTTTCACATTTTCACATCGCATTTTCATCACATTCGTTGTGAATTTGTTTTCTTCTGGCTCATTCATTTGCGTCTAATTAGTTTTGATTTTCGTTTGTCAATTGGTTGGAACAAGGACTCATCGTACCACTCACCACTCCCCTGTATCCCACGCACCACTCCTGGCATCTGCCACTTTTCGGACTTTTCCGTCTTGACTTTGGCAAAGAACTTGCTAGATGGGAGATCAAAGAATGCGGCAAATAAATGTTAGATAAATATTAAATAAATACTAGAAATTAGTTATAGGTTTTAGGTTGTGTGAGTGTGTGAGTGTGTGAGTGCTCCTCTCTGTCCCCTCCCTCTCCCCCTACATCTGCGACAGCTGTCGGCCAATGCCAAAGTGAGAAATTGACTGCCTGTCCGGCATTTAAAGCGATTTTCAATGGCTGCGATCCAAAAATGTTGCAGCCTCCATTCCCTTCCACTCTTTCCTGTATACATAAATATGTAGGATCCATTTGTTGACCAAATTTGGTCATCAGAGAGTCATAGTCAGAGGCAGAGGCAGATGAAATGCAATCAAAATCAACAGCAAGAGAAATCCATTTCGTTGGCATTTTCCTCGGCCTTTTCTTTGCTTGGGTTTCCTTTTGTTGATTTTCTTAATGTTGTTTTCGTAGTTTTTAATACCCTTTGAGGCGAGGGTATGATGTTTTTCAGAAGAGCCTCTTCTTGGATCTCCTTTGAGGCATAGAAGTGGGGCAGATCTTTTAGGGTATCCACTCGTTCGTTCGGCAACTCTTTCGTTGTTGTTCTTTTGGTTGTTCCTCGTTTGCTTGTGCGTTGTTGTTCTTTTGAGAGCTTCAGACATTTTGGCATGCAATAAAAACAAGCCCCAAAAAGCAGCCACACAGAAATGCAGCAGATGCCCCTGCAAAAAGGAGGAGGGCAGCGGCACGGTGGCAGCTTGTTGCACAGTGCGGGGCGATCGGGCCTGGCATTTTGGCCAAGTGCCAAAACTTTTGTCCAACGAGGACCAACGACTAAGGGACTCTGTGACAAGCGGCTGCTGCTTGGGGCACCCTGCTCCACACGGCTTGCCCCCCTTTGCAGCTGCCACCGCTAAATGGATAAAATAATGTATTCATTTCTTTAGCTGGCAATTGCCTGATGGTCAAGCATTTAACACCTTCCGGCAAGGAGTTAGAGGGGGAATGGAAATGGCAGTGGAAATGGAAATGGGAACATTAATGGACTGGTCACCCAATTGGATGATGACGATGAGCAAGGAAGGGAAGGAACGCGAAGGCAGTGCTTGAAAGGCAGAGCAGCTGGAACAGAAACCCCAAAATGAAAACTCTCGAGATTTGTTTGCAGTTTTTTTTCTCATTCAAAGAACATTTATTCGTTTAATTTAATTCGATATCCGCTTCGTTTTGTTGTTCGATTTCCATTTGCCATTTGCCATTTCGATATTCGTTTTCCATTTCATTGTTTCAAGATCTAGCTACAAAGTTCGATACATTTTTGGGTTGCATGTCGGTTGGGGAGAGTTGCTTAGCACTTAGCCTATCGATTAGACCGATCGATTAAATACTCAATCGATAACTAACTCTATTATTGTTCGAATGTTTATATCATATATATATATATATCTATGTGTATAGGCATATAGAGGCCTTAATGTGTTCCATTATGTGATAGTTTTTGCGTGTTTTGTGTAAAACCTTTTTTAGTTTTCGATTAAATACTTTTTTTGATTTCCTCTTCGATATGCTGCGGGGAGTTTCCTTCTGTCTTTCCTGTCTGCCTCGTTTGTCTTTTTATGTGTGTGGAAAATGGAAAATGTCTCTCTTTAAGCTGAACATTTAGACACAAACCTAGTGCTTGATGAAACTTTAATTTCCATTTGGACACACTGACAGCAATCAGTGGAAGTTGCAACCTCCCCCCTCTCAGAGCTCGATTTAAGCGCTCCCTCTCCTGGAAGGGGGTCAAGAGTGTGCATGCCCCTCGAGGGAGAGAGTGAGAGAGAGTGAGAGAGAGCGCCATAGGCTCAAGTGCTGTGCAACAAGAGGCGGCAAAAGCAGATTCTGGCTCTGGCTCTGGCTCTGGCTCTGCCTCAAAGGACAACAATAAAACGCTGCGGCGTGCCAAAAAGAAAAACAACCAAAAAAATGGCACAAAATATGTAACAAAAAAATATGAAAAGAAAAATAGAAAAAATAGGAAAACCCAGGCAAAGAAAAACTAAGAAAAGGCTGCAAGTGCGGGCTGGAAATCAATAAAAAGCCATCTGCCACGCCCCAGTGCCTCCCCCCTACTTGGCACTTGGCAATTGTTCGGGCTCATTGCCGCAGGAGCAGGCCGAAACCCAAGCACCAGGACTCACCGTCCTCCAAGGAGAGTGGCCCTTAAAAGTGGGCAATGAAAAGTTAAAGCCTGCCGGATGTGGGGAGGCGTTGCTGGGGGCTGCTGGCTGCTGGCTGCTGGCTGGTGTCGCCTCGAACCGCCATACATCATAATTTTCGGGCAGCAGAATGCGAATTAAAATTAAATACTCTGGAAAAATGGACAAAAAAAAAATGTTAATGAAACACAAACAAAGGCGGCGTTGTGGAAAATGCGGAAAATGATGAAAATTCAATTCATTGCGTTAAAAGTTGCTGCAGTTTTCCCTTTAGAGTAATTTTTCCCCTTTTTCATCGCGAGACGGCAGATTGGAGTGGAACTTGTCGCTGCGGCTTATTGTTTGCAACTTTCATTGTGTGTGTGTGTGTGTGTGTGTGTGAGTCCCTAGACTACCGTTACTAATTAGCGAGCAACCTAGTTTAACAGTTCTTCAAGGGTTTATCGTCTAAACCCCTAGACGACACCCGAGGCAGTCCGGGGCCTCCCCGACTCAGCCTTAAGTGAAACTTTCGCTCACCCCGTCGACCCGCCGCTGCCTTTTCTTATTAAATAGAAACCACGGTGGCCGCTTGACTTTTGCTGGTCCTAGTGCCCCCCCCCCCCTCCCCCTTTCGGTGTTGTTCCTAGACAAATATAATCTCATTCTTGTCCGACTTCTGGGCGGGCGTCGGCTGGCGCTGGAACGCGTAAACGTTGACGATTAACTGCGCCATGAAAATGAAGCAAAATAAAACGATTAGAACTAGATACAGAAAGATATCGCGCAACATTTCTAGCTGTCTCTCTCGTTCTCTCCCTCTCTTTCTCTGTCTCTATCGCTCTATCTGCGACAGAAGAGGCCAAAGCTCGAGACTCCAGACTCCAAAGCAGGCACCAGATGGCATGACTCCGTCTTCTCGTTTTCCTCCGTTTGCGCTGGTTCTGGTGATGATGGTGTGGGTCGTCTCATTGCCTCATTGCGGGCCCCAAAAGAGCAGCTGCAATGGAAAGAAAGAGGAAAGTGGTAAGAGAAAAGCGGAGGGAAGTACGCGAGAAGATTATTCATACACATTCGGCATAAGAAAAAAGCGAGAGGAGAGCACAGAAGCCGAAGGATCCACAGACGCAGCCTGGACAAAGGATTATCCTATGGCCCCTGCCTTTTCCTCTGTGCTTGTGGAAAAGTTTCGCGCCTGCCTCTCCCCCAAAGGGGAAGCTCTGACAGACGGAACGCATATTACGCATTCGCCGCATTGGCCCCAGCAGGATGCTGCCAAAGGAAGGGAATGTGTTTCCCATGCCCCGCAGATGTTGCACAATTGCATTACATGTTGCCACATGATGCCGCCTGCCTCCGCTTCTGGCTGCATCCATTGTTGGATATTTGTGCGGCATGTTGCCCAATATGTTGTACCCCGAATGAAAGAAGGGAATTTGCCATCTGCCATCTGCCATCATCAGGGAAGAGGAAATTAAACAAATGAAATTTAAACATTGGGACAACTGAATGCGAATGCACTCGAGAAGAGAGCATTAGAGAGGACGGCAGGCAGAGCTTCTATTTCCGCATGAGCAGAGCATGCACCAAAGGCATTTGCATTCCACTCAACAAGATCCTTTGAGGTGACTGTACTCTGTACCCCACTGCCTCTTCCGCTTCAGTCCACCTCAAACGCTCTCAATTAGTGGCGGGGATTGGATGGCGTCCGTGGGCTAAACGGTGTCAAAACGGTGTAGGGTCAAAGGTTGCAGCTGCATTCATGCATTCCAATGGGGAATGCAAAATGCATAATGCGGAATCCTGCACGGAATCAGAGTCATGGCGGGAGGTCCTTCCATCTGTCCGGCTTTCAATTAAACGCTTATCGCGGGCACAGCAGTCGCTGAAAAGGAATTCCATGCCCCCAGGCATCCTCGACCTCCCCTAGAACATCCTTCGAATGGAAAACAGTTTTCAAAGGCCGCTTCTGTTTTTCCCCTGGAATGTGGCAACGGCTCGCACATCATTAGGCGCTGGTCCGCAGAAGGAGCCTTGAAAAACAAAGCGGAGAAGCGCATCAAAGATTATGAAACTCATTAAAAAAGTTTCGGGAGCAACAAATCCAACAAAAAGAGGAATGGACCTCCCCCCACATCTTGACATAACTTAATGTTCAACAAAAAAAATAAAACACATCGACAGAAAGGGAGGAGGAGAAGGAATTCTGTCCAGAGCCAAAGTCCGAGAGGGATTGCGCCTACTTTTTTTTGGGACTCTATTTCTCGTGCCTCGTGCCTGAAACTTTTTCTGAGCAAAGCAAACAGAGTGCGAGTTATGATTATGACGAAGCCCAGGCCAAGGGATGCCCTAAAATGTTAAATCCACTTCGATCTGTCACTTATTTTGCAGCAAGAAATGGGACCAAAGTCTGCTAAAAATAATTTCTACCATGTACCATATGTACGTCTAAAAGTACCTCACCCAAGCGATAATAATAATAACTATGGACTGCTGCATACCCTCTAATGAAATGGCACCCATGGGTCTACAGTTCGCCTGTTGCTTGGCCCCCACAAGAGCACAGAGAAATAAAAAAGACTTTCCCTTTGGCTTTCTTTCTCCTTCGTAAATTAGATGTCAAAACGCACACTTAAACACCCAAAAAAAACACACACATGTGGCATATAATGCCACGAGTATGGGGGTGTCTGTGAAAAGGGTCAAAGGGCAGTCGGGCGGCAGAAAGTAGGAGCTGAGTAGGATTCCTGCTTGCTGCGGCTGTTGCTGTTGCTGCTGGCAAAAGTTTTTGGGAAGCCCTAGGCAAACTTATTAAAGCGTTCGAAGCCAAACAAATTGCTTGGGCAACAGAAGGGGCGAGGCGAGGGAGATTCCGAAAGGGTTTTCCACGAAAACTTGTCAAGGAATTGCGGCCATTAATTTTCAGTGGCGGCTCACACGAAATGCAAATGAAACTTTCGCAACGGAACGGAATGTTGCGACACAGCCGACAGTCGACAGTCGACAGTCGGCCGGCAGCGGCTGGGGGGCCACAAAAGTCAATGAAGTGTTTAATATCCTGCGGTGTCAGGACACCCACACTGTACACACCTCCGTGCCTCTGGAAACGGAAAGGAAAGGAAAGGAAGGGAAAGCAAAGGTGATGTGTGTGACATTATCCTTTATCCTTTTGCACACACAAACGATCACATGTCCAATTTTCTGCGGTATTCCATTTGCATTTCTTCGTGCTTTGTTTTCATAATGCGCACATCCCTGGACCTCTACCGGAGGCATCGTGAGTCCTTCCCATATAATTAAAGGCCCGCAACAATGCCAGACAAACTCGCGGCATAAATCACTCCTGCAGCAGCCCGAGTGCCACCCAATCTTTTCCCTCCCAGCCATCTGCTCAACTGTCCATCTGTCAGCTTCATTCATGAGTCGTCTGGATTCCCATTCATGGATAAATACTGCGCTGGCACGCACTCTCAGGAGGCATCTCCCTCCATACCCCACGCTTTCTGCCATGTGTGGACCGGACCCCGAATGAGGGACACGTTACCAATTTATGCTGAGCCGCTCGTAAACTGGCCAAAAGGCAAACAATTCCACTAACGAGTAAACTCCTTTTTTTGGTCCGTTCTTTCAATTCCACGCGCCGTATGCTTGATGTTCGCCTAATGTTTGCTTTTTGTACGCTTTTTTGATTCGCTTCCGATTCGCGGCTTAGTCACTTCTCACGTTTGGCCGTGGCCGCGATGCTTTCGGTTCGACGTGGATGGCGCGACTCGTGGCCAGGCTTTGAGGGAAGCCGCTTCTTATAGCCGACGTTCTCCGTGCCGGACTCTGCTCGGGCTCGGGCTCGGGCTCGGGCTCGGGATTCGTTCTTCGTCCTGCTTTCGGCTACCAGTTGAGCTTCGGTTGGGGATTTCGGCTTTTGGGCTCTGATTTCGTTACGTTTCGTGCCGGAAATTGTTGTTCAACAAATGCAAAGCGTTCCCCGTCAACAGGCAGCAGGACTTGCAGGGGTGTTGAGCGATTGCTCCTCTTTAATCTAATGTTTTGGGTCGAGCAGAGCAATCATTACGAAGTTTACTCGGAACTTTGCTAAACGATGATCTGATTTGAATATTAGTTGATTAGAAATTCTTGCTGTTGATTTTGCAGCGATTCGGTAATAATTCTGAAGCTATTACCAATACCAATATGTGATTCAGGTTTTCTGTGCTGATAATATTGCTTGAATATTGCTTGATTATCAACAGACCAAGGGATGAGATTCCATCCTGGCAGTAATCAAGTTTTCCCACCTTTAGTCACTGCGGAACCCTTTATCCTTGTATCCTTCACCGTACAGCTTATCGATCTGTCGGAATATGTAGTCCCCCTCTGACCTCTCTCTTATTTGCATCTCCCTCCTGTCGCAGCCCCTGTAACCAGTGTTTTCCCTTGTCGTGTTTATATTTTGGCCGCATCATAAGGCAAACATTTTAATTTGTTCTAACCAAAGGCACGCCCCTCATGACAAGGGAGGCGGACAAATATTGACACTCGGCAGAGGCTGCTGCTGCGGCTGCTCAAAGGAGGCTTGCAGGGGGGTGTACTGACCAAAATCAACGTCGGCATTGCCTCCCAACACACCTCCCCACCCCTCCAGAGATCCGCCACTGATGACGCCAATCATGTTCTTGGCCTCCCCCCAGTCGCTCAATCTTATCAAGATGCCATTGCAAAGGATGAATGGGAGTGGGAGTGGGAGTGGGAGGTCCTTCCTCCCTGGATGTGCCGTCAGTTGGCGTGACAAGCAAGACTTTGCCAGCAGGCGTAAGGAGAGGGCGATGGTAGGCACAGTTTGTTATTATTTAAATCAGGAAGTCGAACGAAATTTCCGCCTCTGCCATGGCCAACAAATTGGCAGCTGACTTCCGCTGCAGCCGAAGCAGAGGAGGCTGGATTCCCACCGCCCTGCCTGGGTGGCAGTCGAGTCAATTAAATTTTCCCTTTAAGTGATTTCTGTCGCCATTTCGGATGGTCGCCTGTGGAGGGGCCCCTTTCACACGGAAAGAAAATTACCTAAAGTCACCTGAAGCCAAGTGTTCCCAGACCCGAATCATACATGAATATAAATAGATGGTAAATAGTGAACCCAGCATGAGTCCCACAGCCAACGAATGTTTTTAGCACAATTAATTGAAACCATTAACTAACTCTGTGATTTTCGCTGTGTGTTTTAGGGAATAACTGCTAACAATAGCCATAAAATTAACAATAAAAATAATGATAAAGTAAGTGCACAAATTCGAATTTATTCCGACTAAAATCAATATGTTTTCGATCACATTTCTTTCACTGTAGCTCCACCAATTGCCGCAGCCTAATTCTGTAACTTTTCTCCATTTCAAATCTTGCTCCTGTTCCTGCTCCTGCTCCTAGTGGTTCGCCCACCTGTTCCTCCTGCTGTTCTCCTTACATAATGAGAAATCGATGTGTTGTAATTTGTTCAAATCCAATTTGGTAGTAGAACTGAGACTCAGAGCCTGAGGCCGCATCCTCCATGGACATCGGCACCTGGCACCTGGCACCTGGCACCAACACACCCTTCTGCAGCCACTCAGGAGGGGAGTCGCTGGCGGGGGGCCCTCCTTTAATGAGTTTTTATTGCGCTTCAGGTGCTTTGATTGCTGCGATTTTTAACTTGATTTACGGGCATTTAGTGAATGGAAAGCGAGTGACTGAGTGTCTGCGGGGGGAGAACAACAATTCTCCGGCCCACTATTGATTTTTCAATTAAGCTGGACCTGCCTGCCCCCTCCCTTTCTCAACCCCCCCTCTGTCAATGCATTTTGCATGTTTTCGCGATTTCCCAACATTTGTTTGCCAAGGGAAAACGTCTCTTTGTAGTGGAGGAGGCGCGAAGACTTCCACTGTCTTTTGTGGCAAGTTTTATGCGCCACATCCTGTGCACAGGGATAAAGGGGAAGGGGGAAGGGGGAAGGGTGATGGGGGTGTGGCAGTAGTGGGGCCAGTGGTACAGGGGTACGTACCGCGTTGTAGCGCAATTTATGCGGTAATTGCTTTTTTAAGCGCTTCGCATTTATCTTTTCGACACAAGTGAAATGAGTTTTCCGACTGCCTGCTGCCTCCCCCTTTGCGTGCCTTTTGTCGATTTGCCAGAAAATAAGGATATACAAAGGATATCACAAGGAAAAAGTCGGAAGCAACAAAAGCAGAAGCCAACAACGAAGGAGGAACTCAACTACTTACAATGGCATTTTTATGACGTCTTCTATTTGTCTGCACGCCTCACGTCTGCGTCCACGCCCGACCCCACTCAGTCGGCATCCCCATCCACTAGCCGCCAACTCTGAAACATTTATGGAAATGCCACAAGTTCTTGTGCCTTTCTCCTGTTTTCCTCAATTTTCCGCCCTAATTAATTTAACGCCAAAAAATGACACAAACAAAAAAGTTGATAAAACGGGAATGAAAGTGCTATACGAGGCTAGGAAAATGGTCCTTCGCCTCCGTCGACTGTCCCCTTGATTTATGGTGTGCATATTTTCATAATTTTGTAATTTTATGTGGCCATAAAAATTACCCGTATGGAAAATTTGTCATTTCCTCACAAGAGACAGGGAACCTCGGGTGTTCTTTATGTGTTATGTGGCTTTTCCAGGAACGCTTACAAATGCAATTAATCAGATTTGGCGGGTAATCATTTTCGAATTTCCAGTGAATGTAAAACGCGCCCAGCAGCGGCAGTGGCTCTCAAACCTCGCTCAAACAGGTCGAATTTCCCCTAACATTTGACAACAAGAGACAATTTCCCTTAATATTTTTGTGTGGGTTTTTTACTCATGATTGCGTGCCACATTCGAGCAAGAGGCGGTGTCCAAGTCCAAGTCCAACAATAAATTCCCCTTACGTTTGAGCACACTACAAATCTTTATATGCTTTTTTTTGTTGACCTTTTTAGCTTGATCCATGAAAATCAACCAATCTGGTAGAGAATTAAGTCTTCAATCGATTAAAATGACATGTGTAGGGCTAAGAGTCTTAGTTTGCTAGTAATATTAAGCCGAACACCAAAATCAAAGAAATTGACTTTCGATCAACAAACACAAACATTAACCCACTGTCAACCAAGGGGGTCTTAACAAAATCCAAGAACATTGTGAGACTAGAAGAGTTTTAACACAGCTAATGTGAAAGGTATCGTAGTATTTTGTTGTTTTATTCAATAAGGAAAGATAAATCTACAAGGAGAGTTAACAAACAATTTGATATCCCGCGATTTCCCTCGAGCTGGTCACCTGTTTAAATATTGGGGGGCCTAGTGGGCTAAGTTCGGTCACGCGGCCACACTGCATGTCGCGAAACCACAGCCACACTGCATACAAACCCAGCTTCAAACTTAACTCTTCCACCGCGCTAGCAACAATTGAAATCTGTTAAACAAATGCACTGGTTGTATATTGTTGATTCTATAAATTAAAGAAAACTGTTCCACTCGCGTGTGTGGCTCCTTGGAACTTCAACTCTCAAAACGACACCATCCCCCTGCAGTGCAGTGTGTGTGTCACGCCCAAAAACAAACAGCGGTCGCTGGGCAGAAAAAAAGTCGCGCGGGCAGAATTTTTGTGCGTGTCAAAAAGTTAAAAAAGACAAACAAAGCAGCAACAACAGAAGGGAAAGAGTAACAAATTGTTGTTGTAAAAAAGCTAAAACGTTAACGGTGAACGGTGGAACCTTGGAAACACTCAAACATACAACAACAACAAAGAGAGGCCATGGAGGTTAGTAGTTGATTGAGGAGCACTCTCCATCCTCTTTCCCCTCTCTTGGTGTATCTTTTCGAGTGGCTAAATTGTTTTTTCATTGATGTGATGTGTGTTTTTGCCGTTTTCCTTGAATGATTTCATTTCATTTCTGTTCATTTATTGTGTTTGCCCGATTTTTTGCCGTCTCTCTCACTCTCTCTCTGCTTCTTCTTCCCCTTCAATTAATGTGCGAGAGCAGGCACCGCACAATTCGGATTACGTCAGTTTTGTTTTCTCTCTCTGGGCAAGGTATATTGATTCGAAGGTCAGGCCAGTCCAGCAGTCTGGGTACCAAACGAGGGAGTTTTACCTCACACTTGATCTACCCTTACTCTGGGTTTAGAGTTCTGGAGTTTGCGCTCTCTGAGTCGCTCTCTCTCCCACCCACCCTCTTTCCGTCTAGATGGTGCCAGCCGGAGTCTTCGTCATGAAATATTTTTAACATTCAACTTTAACACAGTACTTCCTATCCCCTTCCCTGGCTCTTTATTGATTCCGGCAATAAACCTCCTAATCATGTTCATTATGTCATCGCGACGCTTTCTTTTCTTTCTCCCTCTTCCCATCTCCCTCATTATGACTATCTTTTGTTTTGCGTGTCAATTTTAGCATATTTCTCATTTTTACATAATTTCCTCGGCACACCCGCTCCCCAGCGCCTCGGCCCACGATCCCTTTGATTTCCTTATCGCTTGCAACAGCTGTTTGCTTCTGATTTACCTCTGTTCGTGAGCCTTATCGCTTACTCATTGCACACCCATGCCGTTGGCTCTTTATGATATGGACTAGATATCGACTTCCTCTCTGCCTACGGGATACCCCTCCCAAAATATTCATGGAAGTCTTATATAGTATGGATTGTTCATTCGACCTGCAAGACCTAGTACAAAAATATACTTTGTGGCGTTCCTGATCTTCCGCAACATTCGTTTCTTTATACTACTTCCCATTCATTCGCTGTGCGTTTCTTGGCTTC